GTGGCTAAAAATGGCTGTCAATGGATAGATTCCGGAAAAAGCAACGAAAAAGTCGATTTTATTGGGAATGACTCTCCGACAAGCTCTCCAATGGAAGTAACGTATGAGTAGGAGTGAAGGAAAGTAGAAGAAGAGCAAGGCGGAGATCCGAGGACCTCACTAACTATTGAGTAAGGATGGATAAAAGGGCTTCAATTGTATAGGGGTATAATTGTACAGGAAATTAGAGCAGAACAAGAGGAATCGGAAGTGAAAGGAAGACAGTGAAAAGGTGGAGTGCCTTTGAACTACCGTTTCCAGGGGTTTTTTTGAGGAATGGACGGATTTCTCCATAGATAAGGGGCAAAGTACTCAGTGACTGAGCAAAGTCAGCTGGAATCTTTCAGGACAGCGTACTGATACGTAAATAGGGTTCGTAATTAAGGATTGGCGAGCACTCGTCGCAGAGCAGAATCGATAGCCCTCGCCCTCTGCTTCCCCCACAGAGCAGAGCTGGATGACTGGCTGCTGGATGAGGAGCGGCACGACGACATCGAAGGGGCAGGATGTGACTTCTATTCGCTTGGATCTAAGACGACAAATTGGTTATTTTACCAGAAAATAGGGGCGCTTTAGCCAGCTGAGCCCTTCAACGCCTGTCGTCTGCCCAAAGCAAGCCGGACAGATTGCCGAGATAGTCCTGGGGTGTGAGGACAAGGGCTACGGTTGAGGAGAACTGCCTTTCCGGGTTACGCCATAACCAGCTTATATACGAAATTTTGAATTTTCAAAATATGAAAGTTTGTGGTGCGCCAATTGTGCGGTGGTTGGCAGGGAGGGTACAAGATGCCTTCGTGATCCTATGGGACCAGTCAGCCTGGAAATTCGTCCGTAGTGTTCGTTGGGGTGGGGGGTTTCACATGAAGGACAGGTAATAGTTCAAGTAATCAGAAAGGGAAAAAAGGTGGGTTCGACTGTACAGTAATGTGCAATTTCGGATCGTAAGTACCGTAGAGCTCATCCGCCAAACGAGCACCTGACCGAAGAAGGTGCTGTCTTGGCTGGCTGTGACTTAAAAACCTTACGGCTGGCTTGGTTCCCCAGCAACGCTTACAAAATTTATTGGTATAACATAATTATTGAAAAGGTTGGCAATTCCTTGATCGCTAACTCGGCCCGGTTTCGAAGCGACACTAAGTTTTTAAACAGTACATGTAGCTATTCCAAGTAGCATTCATTCGAAATTCTAACACTAAGCACTAGAGCGCAGAGCAGGGGTAGCCAGCTTCGCGAGCCCCTAATGGTGCTACGGAACTACTTTGAACCGGTGAATTATTGTTCCCTACCTGGGCTTCGAGAGGGAAGGAGTTTNTTTAGGGTGGGTGAATCAATTGAATGTTCACATCTTACGACATTCCAGCTTTTTGCACGAGGTAATCGTCTCACCCAGATCGGTGCTGCTCTGCTCAAAAGTCCTAGGAAAACGCTATATTCCTAGGCTAAAAATCGTCTGCAGGTGTAGATAGAGCTAGCCATCCCTCTTTCTGTGCCATATAGCGCTTACTATTAGAGACTAGGGATACCCTTCTCCAACTACATTTTCACCTAGTGTTCCTTGATTCGTTTTTATTCCAGTTCAATCCATTCCAGTCTAGAAACGAATGGAACACTTGTAAATTCCATACGACCCCATAAACCAACAGTCTAAGCTGTTTGTCAAAGTATAACTCTCGCTTGCAATCCATAAATTGTGCTCCATTAATGGAGTTCTTGGGTTGAGCTCTGAATATGATTAACTTAGCTGGTCGCTAATCTCATTGTGGGAATATTGTTCTAATGATTACCCGCTAGAGATGGTAGTCAACGAAGTGGCAGGCTGACGAAAGACTGCTGCTTATCAAATTACACCGTATAAAATTTTTATTGATACCATATAATCATTTATTCTCATGAAGTATATGTGAAATACACAAAATTCCTTTCACTATTATCGCAAGCTTCTTCTCCACCGTGTGAGGCAGCCTGGAAATAGCAGCGAATAAATGAAGAAAAAATCCATCCAAGTTATAAGTGGCAATCTTAAAGGCACAGTACACGATGAAAATGGTTCCTGAGATTCCAACACGGGATGAATTTGCGGCCCGCGCGTATACCATATCTGGCACTATTAGGTCGAAAAACGGCCTAGTTAGGGAGTCATATAGGCTCAAAGGTTGGCCCATGTGAATCCTCGGACGAGTTACACGGCATTATAGAGACTGCACCGATCACAAGAGAACCCATGTAGGAAGTTCCACCAACTTGTCATGACCTATAGCGAGAGTGAAAGACAGTTCTGTACCGTTTTGGTCTGATGTAGTCAGCTCTTTGTGCAATTTCAATAACTGAAATCTCGTCCGAATACCCCTTTCATGTTATTTCCGTNATTGCAATCTCGTCCAACCTTGATTTTCCCTACTTTTGAGGAGCCATATTTTTCTCGAAATCGGCGAATTCTCTCGCTTTCTTCTTTACCGATGAACTATTCCCAGTATATACTCCCGCTTTTCGTATAAAAACGGGTACCTCAAAATAATCGTGAACTGTGCCTTTAATCCGTCATTAGTTGTAAAAAAAAAGTAAGAAGAGCAAAGAAGAAGTAAGAAACGAAGCTCTCTAAACTCTCTGACTCAATAGCTGATAGAAAGCTTTACTACTAGATAGGCTGAGGTGCTGACCGATATTGTTGAGGCGTACAAAATGCTCTTTAAAATCTTGGTGATACAAGAATCGGCAGTTCCTAAGATGCCCAAGTGACCAGTCCGTCCTGGCCTTTCTGGCTGACGGAATAGGCAGGCTTCAAGTCACTTCATGTCACGTCGTACGCAGTACTATTCTACTTTCCCCTCCTCCTCGCCATTCATTTGCCACTTGGTTTACGTCGTCTTCGTCCTGAGCTATCCTCACAGTTAGAATTAATTTAAATTGCATTACCTACTTTTTCGAGTGAATATCGTTTCCAAAAATAGAATTAACCAGAAGGAACAAAATGAAGTAAACATGCTTGAAAGAGTTCCAGAAGAGTATCGGTGAGGGCGAAGAGCAAAATAGAGCACGGAAAAGCTACTTGAAAAGGGCTCAAGATATGAGAGCTGGCCGGGAGCTGTGCTACCAAAGCGTCTTCAGATGAGATTAAGGGGACTGAAACCGTGTCCTGACGCTAATTGCATGATACTCACTGCTTTTGCTTTTCACTTGAATTAAGGAAATTTGCTCCCTAAAGTAACACCCTCCCAAATAAGAGAGGATTTGTGGTTCAGAGAATGCTGGCTTGTCAAATTCACTACAGAATTCTGATACAGTAGTACGAGAATAGTTGATTCAAAAAGGCGATTTAAACTAGAAATTGTTGGGTACCTGTCGATTTATCCAATTGTACCCTATGAACACAAAGAAGTAATTGAGTTAGCTAGTAATCGGAAAGGTAATTGAATAGCGCGTTCCACCACCACTCTATCAGGAAGCGAGCTTCATTGGGAACAAGTTTTGAGGGGACCGAGTCTGACTCCTGTCATTCAACCATTGAAGTTGGTGCTAATGCGACTATACGCATGGTTTCTTCTGTGAAAGTGACAGTGCAGCACCGTTCCGTGTACATCTTCACCGGAACCCTTCCATCGTTTGATCTGCGTTATCTTGAAGCAGCTTACCACAAAACGGGATAGCTAAGGTACCAAACTAAAAGCCAAGGAATAAGTTGAGTCGTCTAGCTGGGAGCAGACCCGCACTGTGGACGAATCAGGAATAAAATCACGCTTCCTTTTGCTCCTTTTCACCCTTTTTATCTTCCGAAGTTCAGTTTAGCTCGGAGATGTTCCGCCAAAATCAAGGGGGATCGATCAACTGAGCCTGGCTGTGAATAAACAACTCTCTCATAACTAGTGAGAGGTACTCCCTTCGAGCCCTTCGAGCAACGACCGGTAGTCGTTCTTTGTTCTGACTTTGATTTAGCCCAGAAGTGTTCCACCAAAATCATGGGGAATCGATCCGCTCCGGGGCCCTCGGACATTGTTGACGTGTGGGTTTGGGAACTGAGGTGGCCGTTGGTCGTTCTGTGTGTTGAACTTTGGTCTCGCACGGGGGTCTCCTGTCAAAATCTGGGAGAATCATAAGAAAAACAAGAGGGGTAAAAGAAGTGAAGTATTTTGTCGATATCGGAGCGGATTGATTTTCTGGGTATTTGGCGGGAGACCCCCCAACGAGACCAAAGTTCACCCCACGCAACGGCCACTGCCACGTAGGTTTTCTAACCGGCACGTTTTCATGTTCTGATTTTTTGGTTGCGGTCCCTCAAAGACCCGAGAGGTGTGCTGCCGTTAGGTTGAGTTAGTACTTTCGGAATTAGACACCTTCCGGCAATCTCAAAGAGAAAAGAGCAGCTCAACAGCCTTGTCCGGGTGCTGGTCTAGTGGGTAGGACTCGTGTTTCGTCCGATATTCCATTACTACCATGTGGCGATGCTCCAAATTTGTTGAAGGCACGATTAAGCTCGTGGTCCAGTGATGGGTTGTCCCGTCAGCGGTGTGGGCTATTTGAGTATTCGCTTTGAACCACTCATATACATACTCAAGCACTGGAAGCTATTGTGAAGTTCACGTCATCCCTTTTACCCTTTTTATTGTAAACAAAAATCAGTTGTAAATCATTGTAAATGCTAGAAATAATGGAAGGATAATGGTGGGAATCGGAGGTCACAATCGAATGGAATCGAACCGCCCAATAAGGCCGCCCATCCTCATTGATTCCACGGCACCGGTGGGCGGTGGCATCCTTTTTCTTCATATTTTGCGTCTCTTCTATCAAATTTTCTATATTTGATTCGTATCTTTATACCTTAATGAACAGGTTGTACGTCATTTCTCACAGTTTCCAAAAGGATTCATACTGCTTTTTTTTCAGATGGACCCAAGACGCCGCCTCACTGGCCTCGGCGAAGTCCAACTTGGGGATGCTCCCATGGGCTCACACCTTGCACAGGTCAGTAGTGTTTCCTTATCTTTCCTTTTTATAATTCGATAGATTAGTGCAATAAAAAAGTGATTTGCAGGTGTGCGCTCAGTTCAGTAGTGGATCGATAAGGTCTTCCCGACTGAGAGGACCCTGACGATCCACCACCTACTCGCGTGTGGGGCCACAGGTATGAGGTTTTTTGTTTTCTCTTCCTGTATCTTACATTAATTCGATCCATTTCAGATCCGTATGGGCGATCGTGGCCCAAGGACGTGTGATGGGATGGGCAGATGGATGGAACGAGCGGTCAACGGTTTTTTCTTTTTTTGTCCTGTCTGTCCGGGTGTGTGTTGTCCGTGTTTATGCATGCTACGTCCTTGAGGGTGTC